AATAAATTAGCTAAAAAATTAGAATTGTATTATAAATATTTACAAAATATTTGAGAGAAATTTCGAATTAATAATTTATAACTTTTTTATATTTTAATTCATAAGCACCCACTAGGGTGGTAATTCCGTGTCAGAAGGAATAACTTGGAGTTCTTCTCTAACAAAAGACCACTTCGGTCCATTGCCGTCATTATCTTCTAGCCAATATAAGATTAGCTGATTTTTTTGCACCAAAGCTTCATGAATATGATAAACTTTGGGAGACCAATTCATATCAGTTGCTCGCTTAAAACCACCTTCTAGCTCTCCTGGCTCAAGTAAATATCTAACCAAAGTATTATAATCCAATTTAGACTCATTAAATCCTATAGACCCATTGCGTAATTTAGAAGATGTTGAAATAATCTGTTTCATTTTTATGGCTTTTGCCAGGGCCATACCAATTAATCTAGTTACCGAATTATTAAGGTTATCAATAATTGTATAAAGATTTTTAACACAAGCTCTCGATCTTTTAGATATAGGTAATAATAAATCAGAGGCATCCTGTAACTGAAATAATTTTTCGGCTAAAGTACGATTAAATCTTTCAACAATACCTTGACTTCTATGAGACCTGCCAACCTTAATTTTATCATTATTTTTTTCCATTAATTCTTTATAATCAGATTTAAATTCAGAACCAGGATCGGTCATTAATAATTTAGGCCAAATAAGAGAGCACTTAGAATTACTATAAACTTTTTTAAAGACCTTGGCCACAGAATAAGCTGACCTATCAGCTAAAGGAACTGCTCACTTAAATCGTGAAGCCACATCTACTATACACAAGCAATACTTATAAGTTATATTATTAATTCGGTCATGGGGCATATAAAGAATATCAGCTTGATGGCATTCATTAGGAATCTGTATACTATTAAATGAGGCTCTAGGAATAAATCTTGGACGGGGTTTATGAATCTGATATAAAGCCTGTTTTTCAAGCCAATTACATATCTCATCTATAGAAAAATCATATCTGGCTTTTAAAGAAGCTTCATACAATTTTTTTACAGTTCTTTGATAGCCATTAGGTTGATAATAAATCTTACGCAAAGCAATAGATATATCTAGTTACCATACATTTCCAGAATCTATTTGTATTATAGGAATAGACAACATTTTTAGCTCTTTTTTCTCATTTTATTCGGAAAAAGAAAATCCGTATAACAAATAAATTTTGAAAAAAAAAATTATTGCCCCGCAGATCAAAGATCAAGGGGCTCAAAAAAATGGGGGAAAGAATTGAGCAATTTAAAGGTGCCTTATTAGCTATACAAGATCGAGTCTAAAAATTACAACAGGATCTGGACTCAAAAGAGGATTATATTAAAATCTTAAAAAAGAAATCTCAATTCGAGATGAAGAACTAGACCCATTGCGATTAGAAATTTCTAATCTTAAAGAAAAGTTAGAAAAGGCACTTCAAAATTCTGAGAGCCAAGAAAAGTACATTGATTATATAAAAAAGCGGTTAGCAATTTTCCAGAATGAAATAGACAAGCTTAATGAAAAAATTCTTGCTTTGTATAATAATATAGATATGGCTCAACCACCAGGATCACCCCAATCACCCCGATCTCCCTGAACATTATCACTATCTGAAAATCAAGCTAGGATTCAAAATAATAGGATTCAGCAAGAGATTAATAATATTAGACTGTATTTTCAAAGCCCAATTACAACAGCCCCGATATTAGATGATATTGCAGATTATCTTAGAATAATTTCTGAAGCTGGAGATAGATCTGAAAAATTGATCAGAGAAATATATCTATGAGCAATCCATGCTGAAAATTGAGTAGCAAATTTGCAGACCCAGCTAATAACTTTGCAAACCCAGTTAGCTGATTCCCAGACCCAGTTTGCCGATTTGCAAACCCAGTTAGCCAATTTCCAGACCCAGTTTGCCGATTCACAAACCCAGTTAGCTACGCTTCAAAATGACTATGATCTTCTTCACCAGGCTTATGAGACCCACAGAACATAGCATAATATATTTAAATCTTGAGAGCTAGATGGACGAATTACAATTTGTATACAAAAAAGCTGGATATTAGAATTGCTTCTAGAAAGTTTTGCATTAAGATTCAAAAATAGAAAAGCCCATCAGCAATTACAAGATTGTAAAACAGATGGGACAATTACCACGCATCTCTTAAATCTTACAACAAATTGATACAACAAGTAGAAAAATAGATGCAGGACTATACAAAATAAGTGGGGTTAATGGAAAACTCAGGCCTGAAATTCAGAACAATTAATTAATAATTTAAATTAACAAATTTTTGCGCTACAGAATAACACACCAAATATACAACGAATAGGAATGGCAAGATACCCACCCCCAAATTTTAATAGCTATCCTGATGAGGATCCTGAAGAATTTATTGATTCTTTTCGCTCATATCTTGTGGCTGTAGGAGTTGATGTAATAGCCGGACATGCTGATAGAGTTTGAGCTCATGGTCTTTTTGAAACATGCCTCAAAGACGATGCTAAAGATTGGTATGAAAGATCTCTTTGAAGAAAGAATTGGGAATTGAGAAACTTATTAGATAATACTGGCCAAGCCAATTTAGGTGTGACTCAGGGACAAACAGCAGTACAACTTGGAGCGAATTTAAGACATAGCACTATGGGCCAGGCTGGAAATATTATTATTCCAGCTCATACAGTATTTGATGAAGACTGGTCTTTTGCCGATAGGTGCCCAACAGATCGATTACCCAATGCACCAAATGCTAATGCCAGACAAACTATAGTAGCAGATAGAATCCGACTTGTTCAGGCAATATACTGGCTAAAAACTAACTATCCTACAGTTACAGCAGAAAAACAGCAAATGCTCTTTGGTTCAACGGTCCAAGGCAGTGATTTTGTAGGTTGATTCTATTCTAAGTTACGTAAACTTGCTAGGCTTGCAGGAATTGATGATCAACAAATTCGTTTACAATTTATTCGTGGCATTTCTTCTGACAATCAATTAGAAATTCGACGCATAGGAATTAACAGGCCCATATCAGAATTGCTCACTGAGCTTGAAGAAATTGAAAGATATAAGACAGAGCAATTGTCTGGAGCTTATTTATATTCGGGTTCAGCATCATCAGATAAATCTCATAGAAAAGACATTTATTTAAGCAATATAGGTATGACCAAAACTGAAATCAAAACTTGATAAAATCTATGATGCCATCTATAGAATCTCAACCTATTTTTTCACAACCATCCCAGTTCTATAGTCCACAATCTATTTCTTCACAACCATCCCAGTCCTATAGACCACAGCCTCCAGGAACCTCTCAAATTATACAAAATACAAATAAGGGTAAATTTTTACAATGACTTCTTGGAGAGATATCAGAATTTGTTCCTTTTCCCAAGTATGATTTACCCCCAAAACCGGTAATAAAGAACGTTGAAGTTACAGATAATGATCCTATAAAGGATATGCGTAAGCAATTAGAAGACCTTCAAATCAATCAGACTAAAATGGCTAAAGCTATAAAAAAGAATTCTAGCAAGCCCAAATCTTCTTGTCGCAAAACCGCATCAACATCTAGGACCAAAAAAAAGAAATCATCCAAGCGTGTTAATGCCCATATAATTTCAGATGAATCATCTTCAGACTCTAGCAATAGCGAAAATAGTATAACATCTAGTGAAAATGAACTTGAAACCAATACCTTGGCGCGTTCATGAAATGAATCAGCATCGAATTCCTCTGGGACTAGTTAGTCTAGTAATTCAGAAAGCGATTCAGAAGAATACGAAGTCAATGCTATAAAAAAAAATAACTTTTTCACTTTTTTCTCGCAAGCTCAAAAAAAGAAATCTGAATCACCAATCCAGATTACCAAAATCTCTGGCTTCGAGTAATTTATCATGAAAAGGTGGATCAAAGAAGCGCAAAAGTGCTAGGCCAAAAACTTCTAGCAAAAAATCTAGTAACACTCCTTCTGATAAAAAGAGCAGTAAGGATACTAGACTGCTTAAAATTCCTACAGATAATATTAGTCTAAATGCATTTTTTGCTATTTTACGATCAATAGTTGATTCATTTACTCGTACACAGCCTAAAAAATTTTTATTAATGGTTACAATATGATTAATGCCGAATTCATTGTACTAAAAGATCCTGTTCTAAATCATTTTACTTCGAATTTCTCAGACAAGGAACATGAAAAATTCTGGCATAAAATTACTATGGTATTCTCTCATATCTTGCAACCAATATTAGATTTAATTCGAATAGCTTTCCAGCAAACAACCCCAGAGGTCACAATCAGAGGCAGAAATTTTATGGCCCAACCCTATAGAAATTAATTTTATTCGTAAAATTATTCCCAATGATGTCGCTACTATATATTGCAAGATTAGCTCGCTATTAGGAAAGATCGTACAAGTGCCTTCTGCTATGATAGATAGTGGAGCAAATTGCTCGGTTATCTCAAAAGGTCTTATAAAACTATTGGGAGCAGAAGTAGATAAAAATAAGAAACCCTCTGTTAAATAGCGTAATAATTCCTTAGAGTCTTTAGGCATATCTTATAACATTTAGGTGACGGTTGGTCAGGGAGAAAATAGTTGTACAATCTCTGAAGACTTTCCAGTCATGGATGATGATAAACCCTGGATATTATTGGGCACACCTTGGCTTGATCGAGCTGGATGGGAGCCCATTGTCAAGCGTGAATTCAAGTTAATGTATAAAAATAAGGTAATTACTATACCTCTTTCAGTACATAAATCTTCCTTTCTCAAACAAGTTGTGAAAAAAAATTTGGTTAACGTATCAATTCTACCTAGTGATTCTATATCACAGGAAGGCAGTGAAAAAAAAAACCTATGAGTTATAAGGAACTTGATAAAATGTTATTTGATACTCTTAGTGCTAAAAGATTCTTACTGACGCGTGTGAGAAGTTTTTATCATTCTACGATGATCTGGATCATCTACTTAGCTAGTATAGATTTAAGTTTGGCTATATTTTTTTTATCTCGAATATCTTCCCTTTCATAAAAAGCAATTAGATCTTCTTGGCTCCCGCCTTCCTCGACAAAGTCAAGAGGCAGAATTGGTTTAGCCCCTTGATTTTTGATCCCATCTTCCTTGACAAAGTCAAGAGGCGGAATTGATTTGTTATCCAAATTTTTTTCTGAATCGCCTTCTCGTAATAAATCACTCGAAGACAAAATTGATCTGTTATCCAATTTTTTTTTGCTCTGCAGATCAAAGATCAAGGGGCTTGGTAGATGAACTTCTCTCCAAATTTGGTATACTCACCATGTAAAAATTTTATATTTATTAGCCATAGCTTCTGATGCCCACTTCATTGAATTTTTGGCTTTAATAATATCCTGAATATTTTCAGTTGATAGGGAAGTGGCATCTGAATGTAAATACCAAAGCATTTTTCTGCCTTCTCGCAATTCTTGCTTGAAGCCACAAGTTATATAAACATTTTTTTTCTCATAAATTCGAAAAAAAATATATTATTGTCTCGCAGATCCTGTTTTTTTCGCAAGAGAAAAAAACAAATATATAGAAAACATATTTTGTAGCACAGAAATTGTTAATTGAATTATCTTTCTTTTTTTTCGAATGAAATGAGAAAAAAAAGGGATCAAGGGGCTGGAAAAATTCTTCGAAAAATTATCGGTATAAGTTCGATATTTTTTTGATATATTTTTGGTATTATCAATATATTTTTGGTATTATCGATATATTTTTGGTATTATCGATATATTTTCAGTATTATCGATATATTTTCGGTATTATCGATATATTTTCGGTATTATCAATATATTTTAAAAAATATAGTTATCTTTTTTAAATGTATTTCGTCCCGCGAATTATAGATCAAGGAGCTGAACTTGTGAAAAAATATGAGCTTAAATAAAAACTATATTCTGCTCTTAAATCTAAGGCCGAAATTAATGATCTTAGCGAGAAGTTGCTAACTAAGTATTTAGAGCAAGAGAAAAAGCTTCAGCAATTATTGCCTTATAGGAATTCGAAAAAAAATTTGGTTGACAAACCAAGGCCTTACTCTAAAGTAAGGCTTTGCGAGAAGGCAGATGGTATTTATTATTTTAAGCTTGCTCCTTGATCACTTTTTTCTTGGCTTTTAATTGAAAATAACAGAAAGGCGGGAGTAGTGACAAATCCAAATCTGAATCTGAATCTGAATCTGATAGTTTTTTACCCAATTCAAGACCTGTTTGCTCTTCTATATAATTTTCTATCCAGGCTTGGCAAATTATTTTCCATGATATTTGGCATTCAGTTATACACATTTAAAAAATCAAGCCCGATATGAGAAGAATATGCAAATGCTTTATTATATGTTTGAGAACACCATTTATATTATAGTAGCGACATCCTTTATATGAATTGTGTCCTTTTAAACCAATTAACTTTGTAAGTACTGGTGTATCACCAGACCAAGAAAGTACACATTCATGTAATATAAACATATCATCATCTTGAATATTGGGACATTCTATACCTTCTTCTAATAGACATAATTCTGCAACAGCGGGTGATAAGAAAGAATTTAGATCTTTTGGTGCTTTAGGCACAGGTATAATCGTAGATATGAAAAGGTTTTCTTTTTTTACATATTGATCTGGAGGTAGATTAGCGTTTATAAATAATAAAATCCAGCAATCATCTGTTTTTTGTTTAAAAATCTGAAAGCCATCAATTGATGCTAATAATGCAACATCATGATCTTCTTTGAAATATCCTTTTTTCACAAGGTTCTTATATCTTTGCCTATCAAATATGTCTCCAATTACTTCAGTATTATAGTATTCTGGCCTTGAGGTATATTCTGCACGATAGTATAAATTTTTTGATTGAGTTTTATCCTGATATTGAAATATAAGACGGTAAACAATTAGAAAATATGGAAACTGACGACGTGCTTTATGTTTTTTGCTTTTATAAATTCCATTTTGATATCATTCTTTTTTACAATAAAGACATTCATTGAGATCTTTAAAATTACCCATATAAGCACAACATGAATTAATACACATGTCTATCTATGTAGGCTTAAATGGAATAAATGATGATAACTTTTGTTTAATTAAGTACAAGCTCATTGGCTTCGCTATTGTAGCTTTCATAATTTCATAAAATGCTTCATCGGTAAGGTTATGTTGTACTTTAATTTTAAGGAGTCAAATCATAGAAGCAAGTTCAGAGGATATAAAAGGTTCTATTTAGTAAAATAAAATTTTAAAATTTTATTGTTATTTTTTTGATGTATATTTAAATTTAATCAATAAGTTTTAATCATATTTATTTATTTATTATTATTGAAATAGATGTTATAATTAAAATATTACTTTCATCATCTGTGAAAGTCATATTGGTTATACATGAATCGTTACTTCCACTACTCTCACTTTCTAACCAATCCTCAAATTCCTCATCAATTTCTAAACAGTCTTCAAAATTAATATTATTTTCCCACTCATTTTCATCACTATCTCCTAGTTCATACCCAAATTCGATATTATTTTCTAACTCATATTCAGATTTATCAATACTTTCAAATCTTTCAAATTCATTATTTTTTCCTAACCCATCCTCAAATTTGTTTGTACTTTCCAACCTATCATTGTTTCTTGACTCATTATCAAATTCACTAACGTATTCAATGTTATAAAGTTTATGCTCAAATGTCTCTTGATAAAAGTCACATGAATCTTGCTTCTGAATACTGCTTTGCATTTTTGAATCACTATTAGGACTTAGTGCATTTCGTTTATCATGATTTCGATGTCTAACTCTGGCACTTTTTAGTTTCCAAGAACCACCATCATCATTCAGTAAGCAGATACTGCAAGTACACCAAACCAAGGTTTCAGGCATTATTTATTTTTACCAAATTTCTATTGAAAAAATTATAAAATATAAATTAAGAAATATTTATGTATAGTATTGTCGTGGGGATTAATTAATATCGTATTAATACTAAATTCTTGCCCAAATGGCTTAATATTTTATGTTATACACTCGCGGCTTCTCTATGTTCGTTCCAATATCTACACCTTGCCCCTTCACTACGTAACAATTTCACCCTTTACTCAATTAGGCGACACTGCGTTACTAGTTAGGCTTTAGTTTTTATTCAAGAACAAGTAGAAGTTGAGATTTGATTGCAAGATCGAACCTCTTATTTATGCAAAATCATGTGCGCTTACATCATCGTTACTACAATCAATGAACTATTACAAGACAATTGACTCTTATATAGACTTATTGTCTTACATCATACTGTCAACCTTATTACTAACTACCATGTCGATCCTGCTAATTATCGTTAATCACGTGCAGCCAATTATTTCCCCGTCATGAGCTAGATCCCCCCAGGACTTCGTCCCGAAGTTCTACCCATGCAATCCAACTTCAACAGTTCCCAGGATCATTATGCATACCATCCAACAATATCAGCATAATGCATTACTAACATTCACACTAATTACAATATACAATATACATTTTTTTTTTTTTTTTTTTTTTTTTTTTACTCTTGCAAGAAATCGGATAGATTGTCCTCCGAAGAAACATATTCTCCATCATTCAATTGTTCTTCATCCATTTGACTTATTCAGTTTTCAGTTATTCCACCTTCACAGTCAGGTTCGTAGTCGTCCAATTTTAATTTTTTGACTCGATTTCTTGTAAACGGGTCCTTCAACTTCGATCCATCGACTTCTTCCACATAGAACTGTCCATATGTTCCGATTTTGGTTACTCTATAGGGTCCTACTCATCGGTAATCCAATTTCCTAGAACACGTATCCAGGGTCGAGTCATAGATCAATACCAGGTCACCAATGTCAATTGGTTCTCTTTCCTTTGCCCATCGATCGTGAAACTCTTTCCATCGCCATTTCAATTCGTCACGACTTGTTCGTGCTTTATCCAGATCACTTGCCAAACCTTTTATTTGCAGGGTTCGGTATTCGAGTAACTCATCAGTCGTCCATTGGCTTCTCATCACGTATGAATGATAGCTTTCCATTACTAGCTCGATCGGCATTATTGCGTCGCTTCCATAGACCAAACGAAAAGGGGAGTAACCAAAGTCACCAACGGTTGTATTTACAGCCCAAATCGCACTTCATACATATTCATGCCATCGATTTTGCCATTCTGCACACAGCTTTCGAATTATTCTGGTGAACTTTTGAACCACACGCTCTGCTCGACCGTTTGCCTCAGGATGGTAGCTGGCGACAAAACGTTGATCCACGTTCAACCTAGACGATAGTTCCTCCATGATCGTATTTTTAAACTCGGTTCCCCTATCTGATACTAACGCAGTAAAACATCCATGGCGCAAGATTATATCTTTCCAAATAAATTGGGCAATGTTCTTAGCATTCTTTTTGACTAGGGCTCTTCCTTCTACATATCCGGTCAAGTCCTCAATCGCTAATACCACGTGTTCGTGCTTTGCTACGGTACGGGGTAGAGGTCCAACACAATCTATATAGACCTTTTCAAAAATCCAACTTGTCGCGGTTACATATATCAGTTCTGGCGGGAGTTTTGGGGCACACCTTTGACACTATTCACAACTCGACACTATCTTTTTACATCATCATACATATTTCCTGATCCCCAAACATACTTCATTTTCACCGCGATCAGGGTTCTATTGATTCCTCAATGACCACTTTCATTCGCTAATCCGTCGTGACATGCCTTCACAATTTCATATTTGTTACGGTCATCCAAGATTACACGTTTTGGCGGGGCTCCTTTTCTCGATCTTAAGTACAGGTTATCACCTATTAAACAATAACATTTTAATTTTCTTTTTAAACGTGGTAAGTTACGTGACTTCACGTGTGGTCCCCAACTCATCTGTTGCAGATAATGCTTCACCAAGACCAAGTCACTTATTTTTTGACTTTCCAACCCTACTCTATACAATTGTCCATCAACGAAGTCATCGTCGGTCAGAATTTCTTGGAAAGGTGGGTCGGGATAACGCGACATACCATCGGCATTACAATGTTTCTTGCCCGACTTATATCGAACTCGAAATTCGAACGATTGAAGCAGCAAAATCCACCTCATTAGTCTACCCTTTAATTCGACTTTATTGAACAACCATTCCAGAGCCTGATGGTCCACCCATACATCAAATACGGTTCCGCCGATATATCGTTCATTCACGTGACATCCGAACACAATTGCCAAGCATTCTTTTTCGGTCACGGTATAGTGCAGCTCATGCTTGTTCAACTTCCTTGAATCAAATGACACAGGTTTTAAATGACCTTCTTCATCTTCTTGCTCGAGCATAATGCCTATTGAATAATCACAAGCGTCGGTATACATATGATACGGTTTTCGTCCATCCTTAGCCGCCTGCCAATCTGGAGCTTTTAGAACAACTTCATCACACAATTTTCGCTTCAGTAACTCAAATGCCTCATTCTCTTCAGGTCCCCAACGGAACTTATTGTCATGCTTGGTCAAATCCGTCAACGGTTTTGCAATTTGGCTGAAATTTTCGACAAATTGTCGATAATAGTTTAACACACCATGGAACAATCTTACTTCATTTACGTTACAGGGGACTTTCCAATCACGTATCTTTTCTATTCTTTTCGGGTTTACCTTAATTCCCTCTTTACTTACTACTTAACCATACATTTCTAGCTCATTGTACAAAATAAAACACTTTTTCGTGGCAAAAGTTAAACCCGCATCCTTAAAGACCTCTGCTAACACTATGAACGTCTCTAAATGTTCCTCCATGCTTCCATTAGTCCAAATTCCAACATCATCTTGATACACAGCAACGACATTTTTCTATCTTTCACCATCCAACAAACGATCCATTAGCCTCTGGAAGGTTTCGCTTGCATTCTTTAGGCCTATACACATAACTGTGTATCGTAATACTCCACGAGAGGTGGCCACAGCCACTTTGTCACAGTCCTTTTCCCAGATACCTATTTGCCAGTATCCTTTAAACGCATCTACCGACGAATACCAATCGTGTCCAGCCGCTTGTTCCAAAATGTTCCGGATCACTGGTAATGGGTAACTATCATTAATTATATACTTGTTGAGAGGTTTCATATTACCGACGGCCCTTATTTTGTTAGTTCCACCCTCTTTCTTCTGCACAGGAAAGCAGTGGTAAGCGTATTCGCCCGATCCTTTTTCCAAAAGTCCACATT